TGGTACAAATCCCGGATAGTTTAAGAAAGTTATTAAAATTTGAAAAACTTTAACCAGAGTGAATATTTGTAGGATCGCTATGTCTCACGTTTGTGACAAAAGTCGCAGGCTCGACAAAAATCAAGGATGGTTTATGAATCTAATAAGTGTTTTAAAAAACTTTAACTGCAGACTGTATGTAATGTTAACTGGAAGAAAAACTAAGTCCATTTATAAGTAATAAATGGAAAAACAGGAAATAAATTTTTACAAAATTTCTTTCTAGATACTAGCTTTTCATGATCATCATAAACAAGCTTCTGTCCAAGTTTGGTAGAACTTTTTTAAGAAAGTTATGAAAATTTTAAAAACTTTAATCACAGAGCGAATGTAATGTTAACTGGCAGAAAAACTAAGTCCAGATCGATATTGATAGTTTAGGTGGATTTCTACAATATTGCACAAAATGTCCTGATGAGAAAAAGAAGAAATAATTGGATTTCAGAGAAAACTGAGTTATTATTGACATGTGGGGACTAAGCATAGATCAGTCGACTTTCCATTGTTAAATCAATGACTGAAACGATCTTAAAAGCAACTGAAGATTAATAAAATACCACTCGAAATAAACCTGAACTCTTTCACACGGATTTTTAGGTAATATCAGTAGGTCAATCAGTTGACTGCTCATAATGCAAAATGCAAATCTATCGTAAATTTTGAAAACTTACAAAAAACACCGTTCAATTCTTTACTTCACAAGGTCAATGAATTACAATAAAAAAACAAAAAACACAGAATATCACAAATAGAAGGAGAAAGAATTCCACTTTCTGGATTTCAATGGTGACATATATACCCCCCAAGTAGAAACAAAATGGCTTTCGTCTGATACCATTTAAGGCATTAAGGCACTGCCTTTAAAAATCACCCCACTTGCAAGCGCATTGTTGTTTCAGCAGTAGAAACGTATTTTCAAATCCCCTAACGGGATAGGACCTGAAAAAAATCTGGAAGATTTTTTTTTTATTGTAGCCAGGTTTAAAAAGTTATGTTCACCAAATGGCGACCAACAGTGAATTTTAAGTCGCCTGTGGTTTTTTTTTAGGTCGCCCATGCCACTGGTTTAGAAGTCTAAATTGAGGGCTGCTCAAGATTGTCAATGAGGTTTTATCCTTTATCTAAAGGTGTCATTATAATTTTTCTCGACTGAGTTCCATCAAGTTGGATAAATACTTGATAAAAACACATAGACCAGGTAATCAAGACAAAAGGAACGAAGACAATAATGATGATTTGAGTAAAAAACAGAAAATGCTGTTGCAGAAAGATAGGGGATAGATGGATGTTGTGGCTTCTAAATTTCCCCTGGCTCTCAAGTAAAGAAACTTCATTGATGTTAACCCAATACCCTTTTTATATACACACATAAACAAATATCACTAACATCATTGATCTATATTGTGATAAAAAACAGTTTTAAGAATTATAGAATCTTAAAGTAAAATACTTCCAATATCCAGGAACAGTCATTTTTTTCTTAGAAAAGCAAACTTTAGTTTTACTTCCCCATGGACAAGTGCTCACAACAAATATTTCCACACCCCTGGACAACATTAAAATTTGAACATAATTTTTATTCAAATCAGAACATCGATGTCACAAGCGAAAATGTTATACTCCAAAATACAAAAGTGATTGTTGTATATCAATAGTTCAAATTTTGCAAAAGGAGCAAACCAGATTAAAGAAAGATAACTCAATTTTATTTTTTCCCAGTATAGAAATACCTCCTCCAGACCTGTCCAAATACGACTTATAGGTTTAGGAGGTCTTTTGAGTTATGGGCAAAGTTAAGAGGGTCTTAGTAGCAGGATGGTAGGGGCTTGGGTCATCATTTTCAGTATTCTTTATTTTTAATACAAATTTTCTCTCTTCTATATATATCTAAACACCCATTATTCTCTCTTCTTCATTTTTTTGCCCTTTTTTCTATTTTTTATTTTTAATTTAAAACTTTTTCTATATTCTGTAGCATATACAGACCATAAGCTTATTATAAGGACAGGAATATTGATCAATAGCTATAGAGTCATTATATAAGTCCTAATTACATGTAGTCTCTCTTTGAAGACATACACAATCAAATGAAAACATACATATCTTTTGAAGAAAAACAGCTGTACATGTTTTGTTTTAATCTTTATTGTTATATTTTTATTTGTATACTTGAAAAATAAAATAAAAGTACACATGTTTTTTAATGTATTAATTTAACCCTATGCAACAACTACTAACTTAGTCCATCATGTTAAGCTGCTACCAAGGAAAGTGGGTTTTCTTATCATGCAAAAGTGACTAAAACCCTCAAAATCCTAGTGTCAGTGAACCTGTTTGTTTTGTTCTTTCACAGAAGGGAAGAAAAAACATAAAATAACAGGGCAATACATTACATGACAAATAATCACTTAAAGTTAAATAAAATAGAGTGCATAACAAATTTAAATTGAATGTGGTTTCAATTTAGGTAGAGGAAATTAAGACTTTAGCTGGCTCTAAAGTTGGCTCCAAGTTTTCCAAACTGGCGACAAAATATAGCAGCTGGCAATTTTTCTGGCTCCAACTTTTAGGGAGCCAGAGCAGCCCCTGGTATACTTTTTCAATTTTATTAATGTGGTTTTGCTGGTACAGGTCACATACTGATTTGGTTTATTCATTTGAGGTCTAACTTATGTTTTATTAGCATGCTCTTTGGTGGAATTTGAGCTGGTGTGATGGTTTCGCTGTAAAAACACAAATTCGGCTGGCTTTACCTGTGATGTTGTTAACCTGTTCTCTCCAATCAAGATCATTTTGTGATGGTGCAGCCAAGGTATTTATTTGATGTTCCATACTCAAGAGTATGGCCATGAAGTTTATAGTCCCACTTGATTGGGTTTTTCTTTTTAATAAGGCTGCATTTTGACTCCATTTGAAAAGTTTTTCACATTTGGCCAGTTTGTCCGGGTCTTCTTTGAGTTTATGGCAGTCGTTGTGTGACAAAATGATCAAACATACTACAGTGTAGTCCACAAACAGTCTTATTGTTTTCTGGAGGCCTTCTGGCAGGTCTTAAATATAAAAAAGAAATAGACTAGGTCCCAAGACTGATCCTTATCATGTTTATGGTGCTCTAGATTCTACTTTCACTTTTAATATCTGATGTTTCGCCTTCGAAGAATAATACTTGTGTTCTGTTCATGAGAAATTCTTTTATCCAATTGTTTGTCTTACTTCTGATGCCATAATCATGATAATGGCAGAGTTCATATAGGAATAGGCTGTGGTACAACTTGTCAAAAGCTTTGAAGAAGTTTAGCATCCTGTTTCCAGTTTTTTTCTGATCTAGTCAATACATTCACGGAGCTGCGTTTCACATGATCTTTAACTCCTGAAGCCATGTTGGAGAGAATATAAGATATTCTTTAAATGCATATTTGTATTAATTTAATACATATGTTGTGTATTGTTCTTGTAACGATCTATATGACCATACTCAAGGACATTCACTTGAGGATTGCCAGAAGGCATGAAAACATTAGCAACTCTTATTGTGTTTTGTTGATAAATATGCAGAGGCATTTGCTTACTATTTTATTTTGAATATATATATGGATCTGTCCTAGAGTTGTCACTTGTTTAGACGTACTTATCAAAATAATTATTTCTGTGACTGCATCATATGATCGGATCCTTTAGTATAGATACATGTAACTGAGCTAATCTGCAATCCATTCCATCTTCAAGCCTAATATATCATGTACTGTGTTACAAATCTAGATTCTACTGACGAAGAAAGGTACCAATAGGCCACCGAAAGCTGAATTTTTAGTTCAGTCTAAGTGGCCAAGTGGTCTAGAGCGCTGGACACAGGGCAGGCGGTGTTGTCTTGATATCCCAATTGCATGAGTTCGAATCCCGGCAAGGGAAGAACAAAAATTTGCAGATTTAACATGGTTGTGCTGATATTTAGAGTAATTATGTATATACATTATATATTATCATATATATATATTAAGTTCCAAAAAAAAATCAACCCAACAATGTTCAGAGAAGATTTGATTCTTTCAATACTTCTTCCCTGAGTGGGGCTGGAACCTGTTCTTTTCATTTCTTACTTCTACAACACCGCCTAGCATTGCGCAGATGCCTTATCATCTTTTTTCATCATCATTATTTTAGTTGATAAAAATCAGCTTTCGATGGTTTATGGAGGTGTTAATATTTATATATGCATTTCCCTAGTCTAATATGTATTATACTGTGTTTTAAGTAGTTGATTGAAAAGATCGTTTACGCTGATCATAATTCTAAATCTGCACATTACTGTCTTTACAAAAAGTGTTTGATTTGATATATGATGGTGGCTTCACAATCACAGCCAAGACCTTTTTTCCAGGAAGAAAATAGATGACATTTGAAAATAGATGACAACTGAAAAAAGTTTGACTGCCATTATGATCAGGTTAACTCAAAGCAATAGTTAAAACAACAAACGACTTTTTTTGTTTCCTATTTAGTAAAATGAAACAGGAAGCAAAACCATGTGCCTGAAAATTAGGGACTGTTTACATTTTGTTTAGACTTTTCGTACTTCTTTATGACAACCAGAGTGCAACAGACACGAGCTTTGTTTTGGTTGGGGGAAGAGTTCTACACAATTTTAGTACGAAAATCTTAATCGATGACACATGAACCTACCCATCCATGTTAAATTTTAGATTTTCACGCTTTCTTTATTTCATTCAGGTTCAAAATGGCGGTAAAAGTTTTTACATTATTTTCGTATCTAAAGATAAATCATTGTAGTTATGCATAACAAACTGTTTGCAAATTGGAAATAATTATGAAAATTGATGGCATAATTACTTTATTAATTAGATTATTGGATTCAACCTCCAAAAACAATCTTAATGCACGATAAACTGGTTTCAGACCATAAGCGGCAAGGAACAGAGGTAGAGTAATTGGAACCAGTTGAAAACTATTTTACTTCCGTTTTCAGTTTCCAACCAAGCTATCACACGTCAACCTTATTTTCATGTTGAAATGTCTTTACTTTTGTTAAGCTTCGTTATCTATTCGTGTGCTAATGGTATGGAAACAATTGTTAAAACGAAGCATTTTGACATTCCATCACAAGAAACTCCTTTGCCGCCAAATGAGAAGTTTTTGGACATTTTTCCACTAACACTGGATAACTTTACAGAGAGTGTTTTGAAAAACAAGGATCCCTGGGTAGTGATTTTCCACGAAGGGTCGATTCCAAGAGCATGGAAGACAATGGCAGCATCTTTGAGAGGATCAGCTTGGTTTGGAATGGTTGATATCAAATCTGAAGAAAAGCTTGTAAAGAAAATAGTATGTTCACTACAGTGGTTTAAGCTGAGTCTACTATAAAGGGGTTTGATCCTGGATCCCGCTTATTTTTTTTGTCAGATTCCTGTATCCTGCTCATTTTTTTAGTTTCCCATTTCCCGCTTATTACTTTTGTCATTTCAAAAGTCACCTCACATGCAAATACATGTATGAAGCTAACATTCATTGACATTGGTAAGCCCCTGTTAGAGGTTAGGAATGTCCCTTATCTCCAAGCGTCAAACTTCGTTTTCCACTACTGTTAGCGTCAAATGAGCCTTAATTTTTTATCGTCTTTCGTCAAATTGAGTGAAACCTTTATCGTAAACGTTATTTTAACAAATATTTTACCATCATTCGTCATGTGGGTTACCACATTCCTACCCTCCTGTTACACTGTTTGACTTATTAATTAGATAAAAAATTTGGCGTTGAAAACATGGCTAGATCATGTACATCGGCAAGAGCAGGAATAATCTAATTACAGAATTTTGGTCCCTCCTTTTGCAGTCTTAATGTTCAACCACAGGCCCAACATCCTGCCCGACTTCGTTTCCCGTTTTCACATACAATAATTTGAATTTCACATGTAACGCTTACTTAAAAATGACCAATCCTGCATCATTCTATTGCTAAGACTCTAATGAGACCCACCGATAACAGTTAATATAGATTGAATTTGAGCCATATCTACATTTGTAAATGAACAAAGACTTATAATCTCTAAATTTTGACTAAGTGCACTTAAATTAGAAAAAGAAGCTGAACGATACATAAATTTAAATGTGAATGGTAGAAAATGTCTGTTTTGTAAAAATTACATTGAAGATGAAATATACTTTTTACTTATTTGTCCAAAATATGAAGAAGAGCACAAGCAAGTTTTGTTTATCGTCATTTTGCCTAGTTTCTTCTGTTACCTATTTTAACATTGGACTTGGACTTCTTTTTAACTGAATTTTACTGTGCGTATCAGGCTTAAATTAAAATATTGTTTGTTTGCAGTTTACCGACCGACCTTCGAAAATCCGCCCGACTGTGAACATTTTATTGCTTTTAATTTGAAGAAATTATTTTTAATACTTCTACTGACCCGATCCGGAATTTCGGGTCGTTTCCGGAATTGATTTCGAGTCTAGGTCAATTACATGTTTGAAGACCGGTTTTTCTTCCCTTCCTGTCAAGCGTTCATCGGACCCTTAAATGGTAAAGCACATGGAGATTGTCTACAGGTATCCACGAAGTTTCTATTTCTACCAGTTAGTGACCGCCGTCATCATGTTGACTATTCTGTCACTTTTGGGTGTGCGCAAATATAATTTTGATTAAAGTAACAAACAAAAAAGGTGCTATACAAATATTTAACAGTGGGGATTAAAAACAAGGGCTTTTGATTTATTTGTTTGTCAGGAGCCTCTTGAACGATTCAAGGCTGCTGACAGATGTAACTGAGGAGGGTAAGGCATTCCAATTCCTGATGGTCCTCGGGTAGAATGACTCTTTCCTTGTTGTGTTACATTGTGGGATCTGAAAAGAGTTTGTGCCCATATTTCTTGAGATCCTGTCCGGTGGAACGAGTTTGTGGCTTGCTGCAACGTTGACCTCCTGATTGTTGATCTTATACAGCATTGATAGTCGTGCGCTTCTCCTTCTATCTTCTAGTGGTGTCCACTTTAGTTGTTCCAACACATCAGTAACGGATGATCTGTTACTGTACCGGTTTGTTACATATCTGGCCGATCTCCTTTGTACCATTTCTAACTTGTGTTTATCTTTTTGGAGGTATGGATCCCATAGAGAGCTGGCATACTCGACTGTTGGTCTAACGAGGGAGATGTAGGCCTTTTCTTTGATATCGCTGTTAGAGATATTGAGGTTTCTTTTGAGAAATCCGATGGTTTTATTTGCCTTGGCACAGATGTTTCCGATATGTTTTTCCCATTTAAGGTCTGATGTTATAGTTACTCCTAAGTATTTTGCAGATGTTACGTGCTCCAAAGTGTGGCTATGTAAACGGTAATCCTTTATAATAGGTGTTCTGTTCTTTGTTACTGATAATACCTGACATTTATCTGGATGGAATTGCATCATCCATTTTTCTTCCCAGACAGCCAACTTGTCTAAATCTTCCTGGAGGGTATTATCATCTGATGTTACTGTGATGTATGCAATGGTGTCATCTGCAAATAGCCTCACAGTTGATTTAATATTTTCTGGCATGTCGTTTATATAGAAGAGGAAGAGGCTGGGTCCTAGCACAGATCCTTGTGGTACCCCAGACTCTACATCGATGGAGTCAGATGTTTCCCCTTCTATTAGTACTCGTTGGGTTCTCTCAGATAGGAAGCTTTTAATCCAGTCGTTTGTTTTTCCTCTTATTCCATAGTGTTGAAGTTTGTGTGTTAGTAGACTATGGCCGACCTTGTCAAATGCCTTCGAAAAGTCCATGATTAGGCAGTCTGTTTGTTGGCCACTATCAAGGTTTTTGGTGATGTCGTCGATGAATTCTATCAGCTGGGTTTCACATGATAGTTTCTTCCGAAGTCATAGAGGAGTACCTTATTCTGTCGTCTTCTGTCAATTTTAAGACAAATAATACACAGAAAAGTTTCATAGTAAACTGTTTATACTGATTCAGGAAGAATTGCACACGGAATGATGTCTTCGATGATATCATTGACGATGATGCAGCGAATATTCATAAAACCGACACGATAACCGTTTCTGTCTCAAACAAATCGGATACAGAATCTTTTGAGACTGACTTTATGGAACCAATTTCAGTGGTTCAACAATTCGACAGCAGCCTGAAGTATGCCATATTTTCTTTAAATCGTTGTGAAGACGACAAAGATGAAACCACTCCTCCGTGACTTCATGGATACCTGTAAACACGCCTGTACGGTGGAAGGACGCATTTGAAATGTTTGAAGCCACACAAACTACACAAAGATGTAGAGAAAATGAATGGTTGGCTTGAGAAATAAATATATTCTCTCTCTATCAAATCTATCTTCGATTGCAATGAGTATGCTCCTTTATGATAAGGGGGGCTGTCCCACTCATTGCAATTATTCTCTCTCTTGCAATATTAATTATACCCAAACTGTGTGAATTGAATTGAAATATGTCCTTAGCTAGGAGCTATTCTGCCAACTTTTTTATGCAGTCAAAACATTTCAGTACAGAACATTTACTTTTAATGGGGTGCTATTGATTTCACCCCAAAGCTTGTCTGTAAATTTTTGTTTGTTTTAATTAAAGCCTGGCATCAACATACCTTTCCAAATATAACCTTTATAACAGTCAGATGTCTAATATATTTTTTTTAAGTTGTCTTTTTTTTCAATTGAGGAAGATTCAATTGTTGATTTTTTTTAACACACTCCTAAATTGTCTTTTGAATCTTTAATATCTACATTTTTCTGATGCAAATACTCTACTCATGAAAACATTCTAGTAAAGATGCATATATGTCAGTGAATATGTTTCTTTACAACAATTCTAGTCATTCCTTGTTTATAAGTGTTCCAGTATTTCATAATACCATAAATTTATGTCATAAATTGTATAATGACACCATGTTAAGTTTCAGTTTTGGTTAAAAAGGTGTTTACCTGAAAATGCCTGTTCATTTCATGTTGGTTTTCAGTGTTTGTTGTTTTGAAATGTTTTTTTCTTAACAAGAAACTTGGTTTGTGTTAAACTGCTTGTTTAAACTTTATTCTGGCTGATAAAATAAAATATTTTTCCTACCTACCGACCCTGCAGTCTGAAGGTACAGTCGGAAAACTGCAAACAAACATATTTTTAAGGTTGGCCTCACTGTGTTTGTTTATTCTACATTGGCTAGAGGTATAGGGGAGGGTCGAGATCATACATAATATGTATGTATTTAGAACAAAGGGTGCCAAATATAAAAGCAGTAGCTGATGAGTCTAAATTTGTCTGGCTTATGAGCTCTGAGGATCCGAAGATTGTTAAACTTTTAAATGAAAATCTTGTCTTACTATTTCAATTCCTAAAAGTACAATGTATTGTAGTCTATTGATAGATTACAGTAATATTCCTTTAATGGCTTTATTACAAAATAGAAGTGACAGGTGGGTTTGGTGGCTTGTCGGTATTATGGAACTGGGTTACTGTACCTAATATATTCAAGAATGTACATGTACCAGCTGCTTTTTATTGCAGGTTTTAATTGAATGGTTTGATTTTGATTTGGTTTTGGTTTTTTTAATCATTGTACATGTATATAAAATAAAATGTAATGTAATTATTCAGCTCAGCTTTGGGACTGTGGTTTTCTATATTATACTTGTCTAGTAGTCACAGGTTAAATATAAGAGTTTGAAGCTTGTTTTTTTTTTTTGGGGGGGGGGGGGGGTATAAAAATGTGCTCAAGGTCAACCCTTTTACAACCCTCTCAGAAAACAAAAAAGCAGCATTCTATTTTGATAACTATATTTTAAAGATATATACATTGTATGGAGCAGTCCGATGTATCGACACACTTAAGACTTTAGGCTACACTTTGGTAAGGACAGGTAAACTCGTGCAACCAATAACAGATAATATCTTGGGAAAATTTTTAAAATTCAGGACATACTTAAATTTCATGAAATCTTATTTAGGTATTATACTATAATTTCTTGAGACTTTGTGTAATGTGTGTCCAAAATAAGGAAATCTCAGTTTTGACAGTTCTTCATTATAAATTATTTCAGAAATATGAAAATGGTACAGATAATCTAGCTCGTGTTTATCCGTATGGTTTACCAGCAAAGAAAAAAGACAGTTGGAAGTATGTGAAAAATGCAGAACAAGCAAGATTAGCTGTAATTGAATGTATACCAGATACTTCATTAAAGATCAAAGGTCGGGATGTCCAAGATTTCTTGTTTGAGAGTTTTGCAACAAACCCTTCAAGATTTCCAGCAGTATTTTTCACAAGTAAGCATACATTGTAATTCAACTAATATTCAAAATTGTCTGTAGTGAATGAACAGTATGTATAGTCAACAAGATCTTGCTTTTGTTAAACATATTTTCTACAGAACTTAATACCATGACTAAGATTTAAAGGGAAAGTGCAGAGTGCTAAAAAACTGCAGTTTAACTTTTCCACATGTTCATGTGTTGTCTTTATTCATATCTTACTATTTTTTGTTCTTTATGGAATCTTTTTTTGATAGCAGGACTTTGATAGTCTCTGTTGATTTATTCACAAGTTACTGGACTTGATACATGTGATTTACAGTTTGACATAATGTATCCAAAGACATTTAATTATTTATATACTGCACTCGTTCTATTTGAGCAGTCGAAATGCGTTGACTGTATATTTCTATGTCATATACAGTCACTGACCCGATATCACCTTTCCTCATGAATATTTAAATAGTAGTTGCCGGAACTATATTGAATTATTCATGACGACTTCTTCAACCTGTCTTTGTTTCCAATGTAAACAACGAAGCGTGTAAAGACTCACACTTATTTCTTTTACAATTGTTGGAAAAACATATTTCACTTGTTAATATTTTTGTTTAAAACCTATGAATCATTATGTTTTATGCTTATTGTTGATATTTTAGTCCATACTCAAACGAATTCGTTCACCATCGGATTGGTTTCAACAGATCACATTTTATTGTGTTATAATATTACTCCGCCAGATATGAGGCCTTTTTAAAGGGGAATTTTTTCAAATATTTAAATCAAATAAATAAAAATAACACAATAAACAACAATTGAGAAAGTTTTTTTCCAGATTGCAGTATAAAGACAATAATAGTGTATTGACTTGACATATCAACAATATAAGGATTCGGCCCGAAACAGGGAAAAAGCTCGACAGAGCCTCGCATTTCCCCGTTTCTAAGCCTCATATATAATAACCGAAGACGTAATACATGTATCTGTACTTTGCCTCGTGTTGAAGACGGTACTTTGATCTATAATGGTTTACTTTTATAAATTTGGACTCGGATGGAGAGTTGTCTCATTTGCACTCATACCACATTTTCTTATATCTATTTGCCACATTTACAAATCTTAAAATATCCCTAATTATTATATAAAGTTACTTGAAACAAGACTCTGCATGTTGAAAAACCTGAGAAACAGTTCTTTGGATGGGAACAATGGATACCTTTTTCTGAATTTTTATTTATGACCCTTGTTTTGAAGTAGCAGCCCAAATTATCTCCCCTTCCCCATGTCAACTAAATTTTCAGATCATGTAGTATTTACCACAAAAACAAGATGTAAAGAAACCTACAAGTTACAACCAACAATACACTTATTAGGCACAGTGGTCTACTTACACAGAGATATCAATATTAATATCTATTTTCAGATGAAGAAGAATCACCATCTTTTATCCGAGCAATTTTTGTGCGATTTCAGAAATATTTCAACTTTGCAAGATTTGTTTTGCCAACTATTGAAGACATGAGAGCCATTGGACTACAAGAAGAGATTGTTGACCTTCCTTCATTGTATATTTTAGTAACTCCAGATGCAGGTCCCACCGACAGAATAAATTTTAATGCTATAGAATATAGACCACAAATAATGGGATCAATGAATTATCCTAATGTTTTACAGTTTTTGTTTATGGTTAATCATCAGTTTAGACATCAATTACAAGGGGATAATAAGTCTACTAATCTTACTATCATGAACATGCAAGATGTTGTGGAAATTGAACAAAAAAGATTTGAAATTATGATAAAAGGTAGAAAACAGACTGTAGCCCCAAAGAAGGTAGAAAAAGTTAAGGTACCAGATATCGAAAAAACTGCCACACAACATAATGGTATAAAAGATGAGTTGTAAGTCTGCAAAATGCTAATGTTATTCTCCGTAAATATTTGGTGTTGATAAAAATGTGGTGATTTTGAAGTCAATGATAATGATTCTTGAAAGTGTAATGTTATGATGATGCAACATTAAACATAATAATACAATAAACTTGGAGACGGTTAGTTCCAAAGCAAACTCAAACTTACTTGAAAATTTGTTTAAAAAAAACCCACCAGTTTTAAGTGCAGTTTTGAGTTAAAGTTTCTTGGGTGTAATCAAGGAATGTTAATACCTTAAATGTAATTTATGAAGAAACCTTTTTCATAAGTTTATGATTGCAAGGTCTTTAAGCCTGTGCATTAGACTTTTTAGATCAGCTTGTAGTATGATGAATGTTGGCCAAAGGAAAGAGGGAACCTATTTTGTATAATTGACGTCAACTACAATTTTCAACCCAAAGCCTTCAAACTCTCAAGAATAACACTCATGTTTGTTAATGTGAAGTTAACTTTATGTAATTATTTTGGAGAATTTTCGAACATTTTCCAGATGGTCGAACACTACCAATTTCCTGCAACATTCTAGATGGAGGGTATCTATTTTGTGTAATCTACTATTCAGATTAATTTCTTAAAAAATAGGCAACAAATTTTTTTGAATATTTGGATAAACATCAAAGATGTGCAAGTCACTTTTTTACACATTTTAAAAATTTGATATTACAGAACTTGGTCAGTTTTCAGCAACTTTGTTTATCATATGGAATGTATATATTTTGGCATATTAACAATTTTCATACAAGAAGATAAGAAATGTATACACGATATAGTTTGTTCACAGTATAACATTTACTGAGCATTAAATTCATTTTAAAGACAATGTGCCCCTTTCCCCTTAAATTTCTGCCTAATTACCTTGACAATAGATGTTTTTAGTGTTTTGTTAAACTTTTTTGCCTTGACCACCAGTCAAAGACATTATTACGGATAGTAATGCTTAATGTGAAATACATGTATTTATCATTCAGAAGTACAATCAGGAATCTTAATGACACTGTTTAAATGAAATTAATTATTTTCATCTCTACTATTCAGTATTGTAACCTTCTTCTAGGTTATCAAAAATCCATCAGTTAAAGGGAGACAATTCTATCCAAATAATAGTCCACCTGTAAACTAACTAGAATGTTTGAATATGAATTGAAGATGTCCATATCGTTTATGTTCATAATTTTTTTAGTAAGTTATCTTGGAATTCAGTTTACAATTTGTGGTTTCGAGGTTTAGTAAATGGAACTTTTCAAGACTACTTAAAATTTCTTTCAAGTATCCATTTATTTACCAGTACTTTATACAAAGACTATTTGGTGCTTTAAGTTAATATTTAAATTATTAAGATTGAATCTTAACAAATTCATTTGAATACAACTAATTATTCAATGCATAATCTAATAAGAAAATTTGTTAAATTTTATACTCCGTCCAATTTTTTTGTGTTGTATTTTTGTATATTAATAATGTCAACAGAATTTTCTTTATATGCAAATTGTTATTAGTTGTTTTTTTTTATTTTTGTAGAAAATATTTGTTACCGGAAGGCAATAAACTTGTTACATAATATATATATTTCTAATTTGAATAAAATAATATTTTAATATGTCTTTGTCTTTAAAACAATAGTGTATTTTTCCATCTATGAGCTTATATATGCAGTATATTGCTGGTTGGTGCATCTATTCAAAACCATGTTTATTCATAAAGGAGGAGCTGTGCATAGTAAATTGAGGTATTTCAAAATCAAAATCCTAATTTGGTGTAAAGATAATTGATTAGTATGAGCAAAGTTTAAAAATTTTAGAAATATCATGAATACTGAGGTTTGATGGTTGAAAGATAGCACAACACAAATTTTTCTACAAAAAAAAAAATGGCACATTTTCACGCATATATGTGAGTGGCAAATATTAAGCACGTGAAAGTAAAACAAAATATTAACATGAAATTGCATTTATTGTGACGTCGCATGTCAAAAACTACCTTTAAAAAAATCAAAAAGATGTGGTATCGTTACCAATGAGAAAACTTTCCCTTAAAGTTCAAATGACTTAGAAGTTAGCAATTAACTGTTGGTCTCTGTACAGTTTTCAACATTGAACAAAACCCATGCCACATAGCAAGCTATAAAAGGCCTTGACATGACAAATGTAAAACAATTCAAACAAGAAAAGTAACAGCCTAAGTTGTGTACAAAACAATAAACGAAAAACACATTAATATAATTATATACAGCAACAAACTACAAATTGTTTACTGTAAACTCAGAAATTATTGCGTGCGTTTATTATTGCAATAATTGAAGAATAGACAAAAATGTGAGATTAATTATTGCGATTTCAAGAAAATCTGCATACAGATATATGTATATCGATACCCACTCATTCGCATTATTAGCAATAATAAAAACCTCGCAATAATTTCTGAATTTACAGTAATTTATTGTTATCTGATTTTTGTTGAGCCTGCGACTTTTGTAGCAGAAAGCTCTACGTAGGGATAGTGATCCGGCGGCAGCGGCGTCAGATCACTTCTTAAAAGCTTTATATTTTAGAAGGTGGAAGATTTGGATGCTTCATACTTTGTATATGGATGCCTCATGTTACGAAGTTTCCGTCAATCACATGTCCAATGTCCTTGACCTCATTTTCATGGTTCAGTGACAACTTGAAAAAAATTTAAGATTGTTTGTAATGTTAAATTCTCTCTTATTATAAGTAATAGGATAACTATATTTGGTATATGCATACCCTGCAAGGTCCTCATGCCTGTCGGACAGTTTTCACTTGACCTTGACCTCATTATATGGATCAGTGAACAAGGTTAAGTTTTGGTATCCATATCTCAGATACTATAAGCAATATGTCTGGTATATTCGGTGTATGGAAGGACTGTAAGGTGTACATGTCCAACTGGCAGGTGTCATCTGACCTCGACCTCATTTTCATGGTTCAGTGGTTATAGTTAAGTTTTTGTGTTTTGGTCTGTTTTTCTTATACTGTATGCAATAGGTAGAATTTGGTGTATGGAATGATTGTAAGGTGTACATGTCTAGCTGGCAGGTGTCATCTGACCTTGACCTCTTTCATGGTTCAGTGGTCAAAGTTAAGTTTTTGAATTTTGGTCTTTTTTTCTAATACTATATGCAATAGTTCAACTATATTTGGTGTATGGAAATATTTTATGATCTATATGTCAGTCACGCAGGTTTTATTTGACCTTGACCTCATTTTCAAGGTTCATTGCTCAGTGTTAAGTTTTTGTGTTTTGGTCTGTTTTTCTTAAACTATAAGCAATAGGTCAACTATATTTGTTGTATGGAAGAATTGTTAGCTGTACATGCCTGCCTAGCATGGTTCTTCTGACCTTGACCTCATTTTCATGGTTCATTGGTCAATGTTTAGTTTACTTGGTTAATGTTAAGTTTATGTGACAGTTGTAATAAAGCTTTATATTTAGGACTATCAACATAATATCAATGATTAGTAAAGAAGGCGAGACATTTCAGCGTGTGCACTCTTGTTTAAACAGACATAAATAGAAATCAAAAATTAAAATAGGGCCCTTATTGCATCTTGTCCTTTGTATTACATTGAATTTGCTTATTCTCTCATCTCTTTTTTGTCTTGCCTGCAAAAAAAGTTGCAGAATGGGAGACAAGGATTACTATTGGGCAGTGGCAGCTGCAACGTAAACGATTGGTATCAAGCTTTATATTTCAGTAGGTAGAAGACCTGTATGCTTCAAACCTTTTTTTTGTCATGTGAATTTCTCATTTATAATGAATAATAGGATAACAATATTTGGTATATGGGTTCTATGGAACATCTACATGTCCGTCAGACAAAGTTCACCTGACCTCAACCTCATTTCATGGATCAGTGATCAAGATTATTTACATGATTAGGTTCATTTCACAGATACTGTAAGCAGTAGGTCAACTATATGTGGTGTATGGAATGATTGTAAAGGGTACATGTCAGTCTGGCAGGTTTAATCTGACCTTGACCTCATTTTCATGGTTCATTGGTCAATGTTAAGTTTTTGTGTTTGTTTTTTCAAGTATTGTAAGCAATAGGTCAACTACATTTGGTGTATGGAATGATTGTAAGGGGTACATGTCAGTCTGGCAGGTATAATTTTACCTTGACCTCAATTTCAAGGTTCATTGTTTTTTGTGTTTTGGTCTGTTTTTCAATTGCCATAAGCAATAGGTTAACTGTATTTGGTATATTGAATAATTGTAAGATGTACATGTCTGTCTGACCTTAACCTCATTGCCATGAATATTGAGAATATTTAAAAATGTAAAGTTTATGTGATACTTGTAGTAAAACCTTTATGTTTAAGACTTCCAAAATAAAATCTATGGTTAGTAAAGCGGTCAATGTAAAGTTTTCATGGTTGGGTCAATTTCATTTCTCAGATACTGTAAGCAAAAGTTCGACTTTATTTGGTTGTTTGACATATATGTTTGTTTTACCATGTCCTCACTTTCAGTTTATTGGTAAAGGTGGAAACAAAATTTGTGGTTAAATCTGTTTGTAATATACTATAAGCAAAAGGTCAACTATATTTGGTGGATGGAATGATTGTTAGGTGTACATAGCTGTCTGGCAGGATTCATCTGACCATGACTACATTTTCATGGTTCATTGCAATGAGTCAATGTTAAGTTTTCATATTTAGTATAAAATAAGGAGATGTGGTATGATTGTCAAAGACCCAACTACCCACCAGAGACCAAATGACGCAAGTAGCAACTTTAAGTCGCCATACAGCCTTCAACTATGAGCAAAACTTATACAGCACAGCCAGCTATAAAAAGGTCTGTTTCTCTGATATATTAGCAATATATCAACAACATTTTGGATTACTTTGGTGATCTTCTAAATTCTTGCCTCCAGTGCTTTAGTTCATGGTTACAATCACAGGCAGAGTCAAACCAAAGGCTTGATGCTTCATTGCTAAGCACACAACAAAAGAGTAAGAGCAGACTGGTAGGCTCAAAGCGAGAATGATGTGTTTGAGAAGGGTAGCAGGTCTTCATACAGACTGTTACTCTGAACTAGCACATTTAAAATACAGGTCTGTGTGTCAGTCTAGTATGAAATGGGGTTCAGATTCACTTTACATCGTTTTATTGCTGTGCTGACTTCTTTTGAAATGTTTGCCACTGGTCATTAAACACCAATCCATCAACAACATCAACTATTTTTGGTGGATAAAATGTGCAAATAAGGTAAATGCCATATGACATATTCAAGATGGACAAGCTTGACCACAGGTGAATATGAGTGAATGAACAAACTCAATACACATTTTGGTTGTCCTAGTAGGTGAAAATTGGGATTAAGTATTGAGAATTTTAAATTGTTATTACTATCACCAGAAAAGAAATACCGAAGTCTTGCCTTCTACAACTTATGTTGCATGTGCAATTAACAATTATAGCCTGCTTGTGTGGTTCCTATTAAACATCATTTTACCACATCATAAGTTTGATTGTGCAATTGTGGCAAAACCTAAAAGAAAAATCAGAAATAAAGTTTGAGGTTTACAAACAAAACAACTTAAAAATAATAACAACAAAAAACAAGTTGACTGTAAGCTTATGGTGACTAATGAAATCCTGTTATAAGATTTCCAACAGTAAATAAATAGTTAATAATGCAATGATTGTGAAAATGCATCACACAATAAAGAATCTTCACATGAACAATGATACTAAATTTCATGGTGCTCTGATCAGTAATTCCTGAGAAAAATGTCACAAAAGTTTAATATAGGTCACTATTTGTAAGAATATAACGTGTTTGGTATACAGGAAGTTGATGAGTTGTGAATGTATAAAGGCATCACACCATAGCATGTTCACATGAAGTCTGATAACAAATTTCAGGAAGTTTAGCTTTGTAGTTTATAATAAAAATGAAACATAAATTTCATACATGTGGAACTTACCACCTTGTGTGGTGTACAAGTCCAAAACTTTTGTAGTATCATAAGATTTTTTAATCGAGCAATTGTAC